GGGGGCCCTTTTCCGTCGCCGGGATGTTTCTCTTGTTGCCGGAAGCCGAGCTGCCGGTGGTGGTGCTGTATCTGTCCGAAGCCCAGACGCTGCTGCATCTGTAAATGTCCGAAATGCCCTTCCGTAAAATGTCTGAAATGCCCTTCCGTAAAATGCCTGAAATGCCCTTCTGTGAAATGTTTCAAATGCCCTTGTTTCCGGCCAAAATGTCCGGAATGCCCTGGTTGTTGCTGCTGTTCGGGGTGCTTCAGGTGGCTGTGCTGCGGCGGCGGCGCAAAGGCGGAGGGGAAGGCGGTGGTTGATGATGGGAAGCGTGAGGGGTAGAATTGGTATTTCAGTTTTTTTTTTGTATAGGTTTTGTTTTGGGATTGGCTTATGGGTTAGGGAGGTTTTAAGTGGAGGAGGGATTTATGGGGAAAGATTTTCTGATAATTGGAATTTGGAAATGAAAATTCTTTCATCTTTTGGCACACATATATATATATGTGTGTATATATATATGTATATGGATGTGTGAAAAGTTTACATTTCATAGTCTGCATTACGATTTTTACACTTATAAGTGGGGGCAACACCAAGGGCAAAGTTAATTTCATTACGGGATATTTTACGATTTTAAATAAATTTATAAAAAAAAATTAACTTTTTAAATTAAAATAGTGGGTTATGTAAACCCATTGCCTTGTAAATGGGTCGGCCCATGGTCATACGTTAGCTTGATTAATTAGATATTTGTATAATTTAACCAAACTATACAAATCTTTAAATGATATTCATCGCTGTCTAATGATATATATATTTTTAAAATAGAATAATCTGTAATAATGTCATGAATGACCGATTCATCAACTACCAATTTTTACCCTTTCAAATTAGACATTTTACTCTTTCAACTAATGTGACCATTTTTTTTAGGTCGCATTCGTTGTAAAGAACGACCTTAATATTCATAACAATAATCGATTAATATTCATAACAATATTCGCAAGTTAGGTATGACCAATCACAAATTTTATATATATATATATATATATATATATATGTGTGTGTGTGTGTGTGTGTGTATGTATATAAACAAAACCGATTAAATCTGTCTCTGTCGACTTAAATTGACCACTAAATACATTTTAATTTATTTTGTTAATAGATTAGAGAATTTAATACTTGGAGAAAGTAGTTGAAAAAAATATTTGAAATTATTGGCAGAAAATGACAAAAACATCCAGAGAAAAAATTAAAAGAAAATCGTCTATAAGTAATTTTAATTAAAAGATTTTCATCTTGATAGTAAATGCAGTCGTTTAAGTAATTAATTAAACCATATTTTAGCTTAAGTCTTAAATGTCATTTAGCAACTTGACAGTAATTGCAGTCGTTTAAGTAATTAATTAAACAATTAGTATTTCAAAGTCAAAACCAACATTTACATGCCATAAAAACGATTATATATTCCAAAACATTTCCAAGCAAGCCGTTTGGAAATTAATTTAGCAAAATTAATAAAATTTTCACTTGTTTATTTATATTTAATATATTCATGAAGCTATATTTTAGTATTACAAATTAAAATACAAATATAATTTTTATCTCGGTTTATTTGGATTACAGATTAAACTGAAATTTATCAGTTTTTTTTTTGTTAATTAGTATTGTTCTTTGACGTAAACTAAATGGCCAATAAAAAAGATCGAATATTGATTTTGGTGATCAAATGAAATAATATGGAGTAGGACCAAAAGATAAAATATTTAGAGGGCACAGCGTACACATTTATATTTTCAGTAAATATGGATTATACGAACAAATCCAATTAATCACCATCAATTTGATTTCCTTTCGATTTATATATATATATATATAAAATTTAAGTTTTTTAAAATTAACGGCAGTATAATAAAAAATACTGCAAAAAAAAAAGGATGTTTATGTAAAAATATAAAAAAGAAAACATAAAAATTATAATCTGACACGACTCTACAATTTTATGTACTAGAGATGCTGTCAAAGACAGAATCTTGTCTATAAAAGCAGATTTGACAAATTTTTATTTGTTTTAATTTAAAATACAATATAAATATTCATTTTAAGTAATATATTTAAAAACTTTTACTAACAGATATACTTTTTATAATTTTATTATGTTTCAGATATTTTGATTTTTTTAAATTAAAAATTAATTAATAATTATATCTAATCTGTGAAATTTAACAATTACATATTTTTTATCGAGGATAAATCTTACATTTTTTTAATACTATATATCCAATTATCTAAACGTGTCATGTATTTGTGGCATTGGTTCTATTCTCTTATCAGGATTAATTCGAATCAAATATATATGTTAATCTCAATTTTAAAGTTATGTCATTAATAGTTTTTGAAATCACTAAATGATAATATAATAATTATGGTAATTTTTTTTATAAATCTGGTTGCTATAAAATGGAGGATTTTGGTTTAGGAAATTCAGGAAATTGCATTATGGATTGAAACTCTTAGCCTAAAAATAATTTTAAAAACTATGGTATTGATATTATCAATTTTAATTTTGTTGATTTAGTGGATCAAACTTTAGTTAATGTTTAAATTTTTTAAAAAAAAGGAATATAATTATAAAACTCCTTTTTTTCTAATTTACAAATTGCTCCCTTAAGTTTTTTATTTTGACTTTAGCACCCCTCATATCTGCTCTCCGCGTAGACCGAGTCTCAAAAAACACAAGCCGTGTAGAATTCCGAAACTACCCTTCATAAAAAGTCGAATTTTCCTTTTTTCTACCAATGTCCGTGTGCTCTGTTCTTCGTTTCTTACTAAATAACAGCTGTAGATATATTCACACATTCAATTTATTGTTTTAGATTTTAAGAGTTTTGAAAATCTTTAAAGTTTTTTTACTAATAAGGAAATAAAATCTCCTTTTTCAACCAAAAAAAATAATTAAAATCTCCTTTCATTCTTCCCTTTTTTTTTTGACCATTTAATTGGATTCGAAGAATGCCCACTCGCATAAAAACCCGATTAATACATCGAGCTCCGGGAATTGAACGTTTTCCGGATTTAATTCCCAGAAAAAAAATTCTCATATTGAAAGTTCTTACAAAATCCCTCTTAATTCGGCTTCTGGGTTTTGCTTTCTTACAAGGAATAAGGTTATTTTATCGATAAAAGTGCGGATTTTTCAGGTTTTGGGGAAGAAGAAGAAGATGAACTGAAGAACAGTTGGAGTCCGGACATTGGATATGCTCTGTTTCTCCAGAAAGGTAGGGTTTTTGATTTTGAATTCCCAGTTTCAAAATCCATTTCACGATTTTATTTTAATTTAATATTGTTTCTGATGTCATGATCGATGATTCATGGGCAGACCGATTCTCTCCTATGTTCTTTCACGATTCTGAAATCTTCTGAATCAATGTCCCCAAAAAGACACGCGCTTTGATCCGAAACCTGTCTGAATCTCCTCCCGTTTTATGTTTTTTTTTCTCTCTCCCAGATTTAGGGTACAAAAAAAAGAGGAGATTTTTCGATTTACTCTCTGAATCATCACTGAAAAATGGCCGGAGAATCTTCTAGAAAGCAACCCAGAATCCGCCATGTATCAAATTCCACCGGAGATTTCGACAGTGAGTTCGAGAACTCGGATTTCGGCCGTTACACGGTTCATATCCCCCCGACTCCCGACAACAACCCTCCGCCTCCGGTCGAGATCGCCCTCCGAGAAGTGGACGTCAATTCTCATTACAGTGACGATCTTCGATCTGACGAATTCGAACAGCTGAAGATTGATGTCGGACCCAGCGAGGACGATAACTTGCTGCTCAAGAAATCCGCCCCCCTCACCCGAATCGTCAAAATATCGCCGGCGATCCTCAGTATTTACCGGTACGGTTCTGAGACCAATACGTACACTTTTGATCCTTCTGCAATTCCATTGTCGTACGGAAACCTTACATCATGCTTATCATATGAATCTACTGTTTTTGTGACGTCTGAAAGTGTTTGTTCCAGTTGTCTGAAACGCGTTTTCTGCTGGGTTTTATCCGTTTTCATGGCGGCTTGATGCTGATTCAGCTGTCTGAAGAAAACCCTTTTTCTATGGCAGGATTCTAGTCGCGGTTCGGATAGTTGCTCTGGTTTTGTTTCTGTACTGGAGAATCACTAACCCTAACGAAGACGCAATCTGGCTATGGGGAATCTCCGTCGTCTGCGAAATCTGGTTTGCATTCTCGTGGTTGCTCGACCAGATTCCGAAGCTGAAACCCGTCAACCGGTCGACAGATCTCGATGTCCTGAAGGCGAAATTCGAGGCACCAAACTCGAGCAACCCAACAGGGAAATCAGATCTTCCTGGCATAGACGTGTTCGTCTCGACAGCAGATCCCGAGAAAGAGCCGCCGTTGGTGACAGCAAACACCATTCTCTCAATCCTAGCCGTCGATTACCCGGTCGAGAAACTCTCCTGCTACGTATCAGACGACGGAGGATCTCTCCTCACGTTCGAAGCCATGGCCGAAGCCGCGAGTTTCGCAAAAATATGGGTACCCTTTTGCAGGAAACACGGGATCGAGCCGAGAAACCCTGAAACGTACTTCGGTCTGAAGAGGGATCCGTACAAGAACAAAGTCCGACAAGACTTTGTCCGAGAGCGTAGGATCGTGAAACGCGAATATGAAGAGTTCAAGGTCAGAGTTAACGGTCTTTCCGATTCGATAAGACGGAGATCGGATGCGTATAACAGCAGGGAAGATCTGAAAGCTCTGAGAAAATGGAAGGAAAGAGTTTCCGACGAAGGAGAAGAAGAAGAAGAATCAATGCCGAGTTTAAAGATGCAGAAAGCTACTTGGATGAGTGATGGAACACATTGGCCTGGTACTTGGACTTTCCCTTCTCCTCAGCATTCACGAGGCGATCATGCAAGCATCATCCAGGTAAAATTTCCCTCGGTTATCCGAGATTTTTAGGGTACTCAGAATCCGAATATCTCTTTACTTGTAATGAACTTCATATTTGTTTTCCAGGTATTGCTGGATCCTCCAGTAGATGAACCGGTGAACGGAACCAGAGGTAGCGGAGGGGAAGGAGAAGATCGGACTGGAAACGGGCCGTTGGACGTTGGTGAAACCGACACCCGTTGCCCGATGCTCGTTTACGTGAGCCGCGAGAAACGGCCTGGCTATGACCACAACAAGAAAGCCGGAGCCATGAACGCACTGGTTCGAGCCTCGGCTATAATGTCGAACGGACCCTTCATCCTAAACCTAGACTGTGACCATTACGTCTATAACTCGAAAGCCTTCAGAGAAGGGATCTGTTTCATGATGGAACGGAACGGCAACCTCATTTCCTACGTCCAGTTCCCTCAACGGTTCGAAGGGATCGACCCGTCTGACCGATACGCTAATAACAATACCGTCTTTTTCGATATCAACATGCGTACCCTCGACGGGATCCAAGGCCCGATGTACGTTGGAACCGGCTGTCTTTTCCGTCGGACCGCACTGTATGGATTCGAACCAGATCTTGTCGTGAAGGAACGGTCCGGTTGCTGTTTCCCCCGGCTCAAGAAACGTAGCCCTGCAACCGTGGCGTCTGAACCAGGGTACGAATCCGAGAGAGATGAAGAAGAAGCGATGAACGCCAGGCTGATCTCGAAACAGTTCGGAAGCTCGAGCATGTTTGTGGGATCGATACCGGTCGCGGCTTACCAAGGACGGCCATTGGCGGATCACCCTTCGATGGAGAGATTCGGACGAGCACCTGGTGCGTTGACCGCCGGACGGGAGCCCCTCGATCTGGCCACGGTCAGTGAGGCAGTGAACGTGATCTCGTGCTGGTACGAGGACAAGACGGATTGGGGAACAAACGTTGGATGGATCTACGGTTCTGTCACAGAAGATGTCGTGACGGGTTTCAGGATGCATGATAAAGGTTGGAGATCGATCTACTGTGTTACAAAGCCCGATGCTTTCCGAGGAACCGCGCCTATAAATCTCACTGATCGTCTCCATCAGGTTCTTAGATGGGCCACTGGGTCAGTCGAGATCTTCTTCTCCAGAAACAACGCCATTTTTGCAGGCTCCAAGCTCAAGTTTCTTCAGAGAATCGCTTATCTCAATGTCGGGATTTACCCTTTTACCAGCGTCTTCCTCCTCGTCTACTGCTTTCTCCCTGTCCTGTCTCTGTTCTCCGGCGAGTTCATCGTCCAGAGCTTGAACGTGACCTTCCTCGTATACCTTCTGATCATATCGCTCTCGCTGTTTTCGCTTGCTGTCCTCGAGATCAAATGGTCGGGAATCGCTCTGGAAGAATGGTGGAGGAACGAACAGTTCTGGTTGATCGGAGGGACGAGCGCTCATCTCGTCGCCGTCGTACAAGGGATCCTGAAAATCGTCGCCGGAATCGAAATCTCCTTCACGCTGACGTCGAAATCCGCCGGAGATGACGACGACGAGGAGTTCGCAGATCTGTACGTGATCAAGTGGACGTCGCTGATGATTCCGCCGTTGACGGTCATCATCCTGAACGTGATGGCGATCCTTTTTGGGTTTTGTCGGACGATCTACAGCGAGAATCCGGAATGGAGCAAACTGATCGGAGGAGTGTTCTTCGCCATGTGGGTATTGCTGCATCTATATCCGTTTCTGAAGGGATTGATGGGAAAACGAGGGAAAACTCCGACAATCATCTATGTCTGGTCGGGACTCATCGCCATTAGCTTCTCTCTTCTCTACATCTCCATTCACCCGCCGTCCGGAAATTCCGACATCGGAGGATTGTTTCAGTTTCCTTAGAATCATCGATGAAAGATTCAAATTTTCCCTTTTTTTTCTGGGTTTTTCTTAAAATAGATGGATGTAAATATATATATACACACATTCAAACGGAAAGAAACATATATTGACAGAAATTTAATTTCCAGAATTCGTATAAAGATGAGATTTTGATTTTTTTCTCTCTTCTGGGTGAATGTAAGAGAGGATTAACAAAGACGCCGAAGGTGATGATGATGGTGAAGCGCGTGAAGTTACTCGCTGAGGGTGCGCGTGTGATTCTTCGTCACACGACGTTTGAGCCCATTATAATGAAAATTATGTTGGGCCTAGGCCCATTTATTGATGTAATAACCCAATGTCCCGATTTAATTTATTTGCACAATCGGCCTAATTTAATTATTTATTTGCGATATTTGATATTTTATCGTTGATTTTTCTTTTTTCTTTTTATTTATTTGCAAGGAAAAAATGGATTTGAATCATTCCATTCGAGGGGAGAATCTTGATCTCTTTAACACGAAAAGTCTACTGAATCACATCCTCGCCATAGATTCTCGCTGGAGATCACTGTCTCCGTCGCCGCCATATTTTCAGTAGAGAGAGAGAGAGAGAGAGAGAGAGAGAGAGAGGGGAAGATGAGGAGGCGAACGATGTACGCATGGGGAGTGCCGATCATATGTTTCGTGGTGTTGATGATCGTCACTCCCGCGATCCCTCAATCGCAAGCCTACCACGATTTCGCTGATCAACGCGCCTTCTTCGGTAATTCGTCTTCTCAATCTCGTTACTCTGCTTCGTTTTTCTGAATCCTCTGATTTCGTGTTTTAGGGTTTTCTTCTATGCAGGAATTCCGAATGCTCTGAATGTCATCTCTAACTTCCCCTTCCTCATCGTCGGGCTTGTCGGTCTCGTTCTCTGCTATTACCCCAATTACTTCATATTCAGGCGCGTTTGCTCCTCCATCTCTTGTTTCTTTGCAGATATGCGTGATTTTTTTTTAATCCTTTTTTTTTTAATCCTTGCTATTACTGCGATATTGTTCCTTGTATATCTGTTTCTTTCTCCTATAAATTCGTGTGAACCGAAATGGGTTATTTCTGTGAAAGAGAGGAAACTTTGTTGTATGGAATCTCTGTGATGTTTGGAATATCATGTCTTGTCTATGGAAATGGAACAGCCTGCGAGGTGAGAGATTGGGATGGTCTTGCCTTTTCATTGGCGTGGCTGCTGTTGCATTCGGTTCCTCTTACTACCATCTCCACCCCGACGATGCTGGCCTTGTCTGGGATCGCCTTCCTGTATGCCTCGATTCCTTCTTTTCGTGCTTTTCTTCTCTGCTCCCTCATTTTCGTTGTTATTTTTTTCTCAGATGACTATTGCTTTCACATCCATCATGGCTATATTCGTTATCGAAAGGATCGATGAGCATAAGGGTACTGCTTCCATTGCCCCTTTGCTTGTGGCTGGTCTCGTTAGCATTTTGTACTGGAGGCAAGTTTGAATCTTTTCTAATTCTGATGCTACAAGATGGCAAGTTTGAATCTTTTCTAATTCTAATGCTACTCCATCTTGGAATATCCTTATATGATGGTAATATGCCATGTCTCTGCAACTGGGGATCCAGGTTTTTTGATGATCTTCGGCCATATGCTTTAGTCCAGTTTGTCCCTTGCATTGTCATTCCACTGATGGCTATTCTCTTGCCTCCGATGTATACACATTCCGCCTACTGGCTCTGGGCTGCAGGTTTGTGCCCTGCTTAGGCTGATGATGTTTTCTTTTCTTCTGAACGGAAAGCTTAATCCTTTGGTTCTCATTTCTTGATTCAATCGCCCGAACTGTAGGATTTTATCTCGTAGCCAAGGTGGAAGAAGCTGCCGATAAACCCATTTACCGCTGGACTCATCATACCATAAGCGGGCACACTCTAAAGCATTTGTGTGCTGCCATGGTTCCGGTCTTCCTCACGCTAATGCTTTCGAAGAGAAGTATCGAAACCGAAAGGTATTTGCTGATTTTGCTCGTATATAGATGCAAACACGACATTGGCCAATTCGGCTCTTGCAAACTCTGCAACAGTGTTGGTTTTATGCCATTTGATGAATTCAGGATAAGCTTGATCAAGGCATGGAAGACCTCATGGGGCAGGATTAGAGGGAAGGGCTCGGAGTCTGAGAGCTATGAATATGTTTACTCGAATGTAGCTGTGGATGAGCCTCAGTAGCTTGTGTCGGTCGATAATGAGATATAAGGTAATATAACATATTATGCATTTTATGTTATAGAATAGTAAGATAGGACCTATAGCATATAGTGGAATTTTATATAAATTTATACATCTTTTTTTTTATATAAAATATATAGAATGTAATAAATTGAAGTCGAATCCCTGAATTTAACGAAATCAAATGAAGGGGAAAAAACTGTTTTATAAATTGAAAATTTTAGATTTTTTTTTGTTTGTTTGATAAAATTATGCATTATAATTTTACTATTTTTTTTTCTTCGATAATATTTTTATTTTACCCATCGTTGGGCTTTTGTATATTTGGTAAATCGGCTTTTAACAGCCCATTTACCACCCATAATCTCTTTGGACTATTTTCAGCGCGTGACTTCTACTCGCTCACTACTCTGGATTCTGATGAGGGCCCATTACACTTAGGCTGAGCCCACTACTAATCTAAAGGCCCATGGGCCCAATTTTAATTATATATATATATAATTCTAAATAATTTCTTTCTGCGAAACTCCTTTATTATTCTTTTCACTCGCTATAGACAGAAACAACAATCAAATCACATCACTCGTGAAGGAATAAGAATACACAGATATTATAATCTACATGTATATGTGTGTGTATATATATAATTATATATATAGCTTTCACCGCCGTTTCTCGTCGGGATCGCTATCGAAGATCACCGGCCTCCGCGGCTGGTGAGCCTCCCGGTCTCCCGGAATCGATCCCTCTCCGCCGGATCGATCACGCACTCCGGCAACGGCTCCGGATACCTAACAGAGTCGTAGCAGTAAGAGTAGTACATGTAATGCTGGCGGAATCTCCGCATGGCGGATCGCTGGTGAGGCGTGATGGTGGAGAAATCGCTCGATCGGAGGAGATCGTCGGAATCGGCGCAGTCGGGGTCGGAATCGGAGCCAGGGAGCTGCTGGATCGGATCGACGGCGCAGCCATGGAGGGAGAAGGATTTGAAATCGGCGACGAAAGGGGCATATTTGTAATTCGCCTTGAATTTGCCGCCGGACGTCGCCCAATCAGACGCGTCCCAGATCGTGGCGTACAGCGCCATCGGCTTTTGCGGGTATTCTCCTCCCATGGCTTCGCTTCTCACCACTTCCCTGATCGGTACGTCGTCCACCCAGAATCTGAAATTTCAAATTTCAATTTTTTTTTTAAAATGATATATTATATTTTTTTTATTATAAATGGAAAATATATTTTGATTACTTCTTTTGGGTGGGTGATCTAACGAATCCTAACTACTACTGTTTCCTAATAAAACCATTTTCATATAAATTCAACTTTAATTAAATTTAACAAAACAGTTACACCAAATTAATGTTGACAAAAAAAGATTAACGAGGTATTTGAGTGATTAAACTTCTATTAATTGGTGAAAAAACGTTATTAGCATTAACTAAATTATCTCTTTCTTGTAAGTTGTAACCCATAAAAAAAAAGAATAATTGGTACGAAAAAAAAAAAGAAAAGAGAACCAAACACACACACACTCACACATATATATATATATGTGTGTGTGTGTGTGTGTATTTGTGGCAAGTGCCTAATTATGCCATTTACGTCATATATATACACACACATGTACACAGACGTAACCATGAGAATGTTCCTAAAATTGGGTTTTCTGATATCACATGCATAGCAATAATTCATCGCATATATCCAACGAGAATAATTTCATTGTATATACCAATATACACATGTATATGTGAAATTATTCTACTAAATACTATTATAAGAAAGCTAAGCAAGATAATAGTTAACAACGATCATGAAATTCAACGCGTGGAAACCGAAACCGGGTCGGTTAACGAAATTTAAGCGAACCGAAAAGAAACCGGAGTAAACCGGCGGGAACTTACATGATCTTGTGAGAAGTCCAGAGGATGCTGTAACGGTGGAACTCTTTTGAAGGATCGAACCAAAGACGGTATCTCTCTTCACGGCCTCTCCACGTACTTCCGTTTCCGTACAGATTTGTCTGAAACCTCCATGGCTTTCCTTTTATGTTTCCCAGAAACTCGAAGTCCAGTTCGTCGTGCGTTTTCTCGAACACGTCCCCGTTCGATGTCTGAATCCGTTTATACGATCGAAATTGTCAGGATAAAAATCGTGGGTTTATCTCAAAATCAAAGCTTGTTCCGTCGATCGAACAGAAAAATATGTAATTGAAAACGGAGATATATACAGTAGTTATATATACGCCGGTTTCCCGAGAAACTGTTTCCTCTCGTGTTGGTATATAGAATCCGGACGCTTGTTTATTTTCTCGAGAAAATTGAGGGTCTGTTTCTCGGCAACCCAACAATGGAAATGCCACACACATATACATATAATACGTATATATATATATATATATATATATATATATATAAACTTACGTAGAAATCACCGTTACCAAAAAAAAAAAACTTACGTAGAAGGCGACAACGACGCCGGCTGGATAATCGGCGGGCAACTTGACCATGGCGCTGAAAAATCCGTGTTGATACATATTCGACGAAATGAATCCCGACCCTATTCATCATCATCATCACCATCGTCATCATCATTATCACCATCAATACACAACAAAAAAAAAGGAAGAATCAATTATCGATGAACATGCAGAAAAAAAAACCCAGAAAATCAGACCATGTTCATATCAATATGTATCACAGAGAGATTATATATCGTTTGTGTATTTATATATATACACGTATATGTATGTATATTATATATATGTACGTACCCGTGTATCGATCGAGGAGGAGACGAACGGAACGATCATCAGGAGAGCGAACGAGATTGGAGTCTCCGAAGAGAGGAGATAGGGTTTCTTCGAAGATGGAGCTCGTTAGGTTATTGAAGGCCGATGTCAAGCCGACGAAGAGGACGCAGAAGAAAGACGTATACAAACGAGTTTTCTTCATTTTTTTTCCTGGGAAAAAAGATTATAATTCCCTTATATAAATTATAAATTAATTTTTTTTTTATAATTTCTTGAAATTTTTTTGAGAGATCCGCTCTCTGTGTTACACGCTCTCCTCTTCCCTTCCATAAGGTTTTATATCAAGGGAGGGAGGAAGAGGAAGAAGGAACACTTTGGCTTTTTTGGGTTCTTCTGGTTCTCATTGATCAGTCTTTTTGAATTTCCAAATATACCCTTTATTCTGACCGTTTATCACGGTTCTGCCATTACTCCCGTTTATCCTTTGGGGAAATACACCAAAAGGAATTTATACTTTACTTCGGAACAAACCCACCTTTCCTTTGGATCTCTATAAAATTTTTTAATTTATGAATTTTAACACTCTCAGTCACATTTATTTTTGTTTATTGTCGTGATATATATATATATATATATATATATATATATATATATTGGAGATTTTGTGTTACATATATGATGATTTTATTTTTTATTTTTGCCTTTAAATTGTGTTAACGTCGTGTTCGAGGGAAAAAAGAAAACGTGTTTAATTTATGATCCCACAATCAAACATTTATAGAATGCTTGAATTTGTGGAGTTTAATCGTAATTCATGAATTAATTCAGTGGTGGTTACGAAACTATTAATTTTCTCCCATATTTTAGCCATTTTTTTTGTAAATAATTATCGAATATTATACATTTAAAGAGAGATTAGGACGTACACGCGCAAGGGTTAGATTTGTCATTTTGTAGTTGAAAGTCAAAATGAATAAAGTGACGACAACTCAGCATGAAATGGACATTAAAGGGTCTTTAATCAGTATACTCATGCAAACATTAAACAAATCCCTAATCCCTTTCACCCAAATACACACATATATATATATATATATATAATATTATACCCATTATATATATATATATATTAAACTAAGGTGGTTACACTAAGAGACATTTAAATCGATTAAAAAGCTATGATTGATTCCGGAATTTAGAAAAACAGCCAATCTATACGTTTCCGATATTCTGTTTTATATTCCCCTCTAATTATTTCACAATTTCCCAAAGGTGTTATGATAAAGATAAGGATGACAAATATTATAATATATATATATATATATATATATAACATGATAAATATTTAAAGAGAACATTTTTTGAAACGATAACCATTTACACTTTAGAGTTATAATATCACGTAGAAGTAGAAAAGCAGTGGATTCTAATTAAATATTATGATATAATATTATAGATATAAGATATTATACTATATGGTATTATAAGTAATCTTTAGAAATATTTTTTTATAATATATATTTATAAAATAATATTAGTTTTAAAAAGCGAAGAGGACCGATATGTCCAAGCGTAGTCGGTTGTTTTTGTTTACCAACCTCGCTATATTTTGCACATACCATGCATTTTGTCCATTAACTAATTAAAGGGAGAGGAATCAAAAATATAATCACGGATTAAGTAAAAGCCTAATTGGCTATAATTAGCCTCTTAATTAACTATTTGATGCTAACCCTTTTTCGTGATCGACGATATTTTCGAGATTTAATTCGTTTCCATAATTAATGACTTTAATCGTACGAGGTTCTATAATTCATAGTATATATTTTATATCATAATGTGAACATCTAAGTGCCAAATATCCTTATAAGAGTTTGGCGGATGAACTTTGCATCGCTATGAAGCGATCCTTATTTTATGCCCCTTTTTATTCGCAATACCGTTGCTAGATATATTTTTCGTATAATATATGATCCATTATTTATTCGTATTTTGTTAATATGATAAGATGAATGATGATGATGATGATAATAATAATAATAATAATAATAATAATAATAATAATAATAATAATAATAATAATAATAATAATAATAACGGGTCAATTTGGGGGAACTAGAATGCTAGGTTGTTAAAGCAATCATAATTATAAGATTGAGAAAGTCTGCGGTTTTTGAATAAGATGGAAACCTGCCCATCATCTTCTATGGGGTTTGACCTTGAACAATTACACTTGCATGTGATTAAAATCATCATGAATGGTAAAATTGAAATATATATATATATATATGTATAAAAGCTTATTATATAAAATTGGGTGTAGTGGTTGGGTATAATTATCAGCTTCTAGTCCAAACAAAACAGTGATGAGGATTGAGGGAAGAGTGTTTTACAAGCAACAAATAGTGTGCATAATATATGGTTGTAGAATAAAGATGATGATTGTTATTGTTGATAAATATATATTAAATACACATGTTGAATATATAAAAAAAATTCTTATAATTATCAGCTTATAGTCCAAAGAAAACATATATCTGCTTTGAAATATTTTATTGGTATTTTATTAGAGTGTCTTCGAGATAAAGGAAGATATATAATCTATTCCAAGATTCTTCTTATAATCAATAGTTTCTCTAATGTATTTCCGAAATAAAAATTCATATATGCTCTCTCTCTCTCTCTCTCTCTCTCTCTACATATCTATGTATATATATATATGAAGATATTAATATATGGTACAATTTACAAACACAATTATCACTACAATAATGAGGATGTTCTTTTGACAATTATTGAAAAATAACATTTACCCAATAATAAAAAATGGTTACACAAATAGCATTATGTATAAAAATAATAGCATGTGGTGGGGTAGGGATTTGTAATCATCTCAACTGAAATTGATTTTTGACATATGAATAATGATAATAATGTTTGGTATTACTCATCATGCAAGTTTTTTGTGCTCTTGTGGTACTGCTTCCAAGTTGATGATGAGCATGTGAAACCTTATCACATGGACTTACATAACATATATATATATATATATATGAATGTATATATACATATATAATACAAAGAAATTCCAACTTGCGTTTAGAGGTTCAATATATATCAAAGCCCAAATTATATGGTGTTGACTATCTTAAGAAAACAAGCTTTGTTTTTTTTTTAAATAAAATTATAGTCGAAAAGAAAATCCAAGACTATGATTTAGTTTTATAGCCAATTAATGACACATTTTCATGCAAAATTATTAGAATGAATATCTGGTTTGATTTAATTTAGTTTGGTTTGTTTTGGTTTAGTTGGTTAGGGTTTTGGTGTTTCCTTTCCCCTTTGTATTTAAGGTATCTATGTCTTTATTTTGAGGAATACATAGAAGAAATATTTCCAAAACTCTCTCTAATTCTCTAATATAAAAAAAAATAAGCAGAAAAAAATGTACATTATATATATATATGTATGTATATTCATTATACTTTAACCTCAACACTTCCCCCCTATGAAACCACAATTTCTTCTTTACATTACTTGCAAAACAAGGAATATTATATATATATATATATATATATATATTGTATGGTTAAACATTGTATAAAAGAAATAAATATAAGAAAAAGAAAACAAATTTTATTAGATGATAGTGTCAAGGGAAATCAAGGATTTCTTCATCACTCTCCAAATAAAACTAAATTTCATTCCCCTTAATGAAAATCTTCCAAAAAAACAAAAAATTCAGACAAAGTTGGAACAAGAAAGCTCAACACAGCAACCAACTAACTTGTTCCTGTTTAGTTTATAGACAGAAGATCATTTCCATGGAGAAGCAAAGGCACATTTTGTTATATAATATAGGGATGGTCATTTCCGTTATTAACCGAATCGAATCGAACCGAATAAGATATAACCTGATAACCGTACCCAAATTGAATCCGACATCAAAACTAAATGGTTATGATTTCTTTAAATTCGAAAAAATCGAAACCGAACCGAATAAAAAAATAATCGAAAAAATCGATAATTTCTTTGAAAAAATGATTCTTTTTACCAAAACCGAACCGAAGCAAAAAATAACTGAACCAAACTGAACCGAGGTTTATATATACAAAATCGAATGGTTATAATTTTTGTATAACCGAAATAATCGAAACCGAATATAACCGAACCAAAACCCGAAATGATCACCCCTAATACAAACCACACATGCATGGCCTTTGCCTCAATTTTTTTCCTTTACAACATAGGAAAGAAAAGGGGCGAAACCCAAAAAAAAAAAATCAAACAGAGTTTCTACTACTTCCCCTACTTGCACATTCACCATCCTCAATTCCATTTCATCTGAAAAAGCTAAGGGCTCCAAAAATCTAATACGAATTGTCAGCTTCTGCCATGAAGAACCTCTTTGGTTTCCTTTTGCCACTTCGTACCTGGGTTAGATCCATAGCCAAGAGTCATATGTTGAGTTGTGTCGGGAAATGGTTGTTCTAGGAACTAGGAGTGGCCATTTCGGGTTTCGGTTTGGATCCAGTTCGGTTATTTCAGTTATAGAAAAACTATAACCACTCATTTTTCTTATAAACTTCGGTTCGGTTATTTTTCGGTAAAAAAATCATTTTTTTTAAAAAAATTATCGGTTTTTTCAGTTATTTTTATTCGGTTCGGTTTCGATTTTTTCAGATTAAAAGAATTCATAATCGTTCGGTTTTGATGTCGGGTTAAGTTCGGGTACGGTTATATCTTATACGGTTCGTCTCGGTTCAATTATTCGGTTGATAACCGAAATGGCCACACCTACTAGGAACTTCCCTTGTAATCTCTGTTTGAACATGACGGTCTGGTTCTTGGTCATTCTTGTCTGAGTTTTCAGACTCAAGAAAGTTTTGAACAGTTTCTGGGTCAAAGGTTTTTGCCCATTCAAAGGTGACTGACTATTGGCCGCTCACAGTATATATATATGTATATGTATATGTGTATATATATATATGTATATGTATGTGTGTGTATACTAGCAATTAGAGAATATTAAGATCCAGTTTGAGAAGGGAAACTTGCAGAAAAATTATAAAATTATATGACCTAATGATATTGGCAATTAATTTTGTTGACTTGAGTGTTGACTTTCCTAAAACATACTCACCCCTTGATGACGTGGCAAGATCTGAAGTGATAAAAACCTCGAATCAGGACCGTTGAAATTCCCTTTGTACCGTCATAGGGGAATATTACTCAAATAACCCACTTGGGTCGCAGCAATTTCAGTGTACACTACCGAAAAAAAAAAAAAAATTTGCGACCTTATTACGACTAATATATAACCAATATACAACTTATTACGACTAATAAACTACTCTTATTTTAGTTGTATATTAGTTATATATTAGTCGTAATAAGGTCGTAAATTTTTTTTTTTTTTCGGGTGGTGTATCCTGAAATTGCTGCGACCCAAGTGGGTTATTAGGGTTAAAACCCCCCGTCATAGAGGCGTGGTACCTTCCCCTTTCTTTCTCCTTCCTCCGTGCTCTACAGCTCGAGGATCAATTTTCGAGATCTTCTGAATTGGGTCGAGTTTGAGAAATCGGGGAGATATGGGTTTCGAAGATGATCCGTAAGTTCTTCTACTTTGTCCTCTTCGTTTGGATTTTGTTTCGCTAAAAGAAGGTCTCGGGTTTTCCCCCTTCGATCCAATCTAGGGTTTCTGGATTTTTAACTTTTCCGCGCTCTATCCTCGATTGTGATCTTCTTTCAATAGAATTTGAGTGGCTTGCCTTGTGGGTTTTACGAAAAATATAATTTTGAGTTGCGCTTCATCTTTAATCCCTGTGTTTTAGATTATTCGGGTTGTTAGGATTCAATTGATCGTATCTGAATTTTCAGTATGAGTTGTGTACCAGATCGATCGTTTGTCCTTTCAGGTACCGCGATGAAGATGGGGAGCCTTTGATGGACTACGATGATTTCCATAATGATCGCGAACCATCGCCTGAACCTCTGCAGGACTTTGACGACAATTTGGTTGATGATGTCGGGGACTGGGATGCGGCCGAAGGGTCACAAACACCGGTCTACGACAATGATAAAGTTAAGCCCAGAAAAAGGTTGGTGAAGAAAACGTCCAGTGGAAAAGACGCCATCGATGTTCCAGAATTGGTTGATGAAGACTTGGACTTTGATGGCGGTGAGTTCACTGGACATGGTTCAGATTTTGATGACAAGGTGGGTAAGAAGAGGAAGAAGGAAGAAGACTGGATTGGTAGTAGTGGAAGGAAGGAGGAGAAGAAGCATATGAAATTCCCAAGCCGGGGTGAGGGGAAGTCTGCAGAGATCGATGAGATGTGGAATTCTATTGCCCATAACCCAGAGGTATGCGCCAGTCATTGGTTAGACGGTGTGTAGCTGTAGCTGATCGAGTCTTATTTGGTTTCTTTATGAAATTTCTTCATGTAAACAGTGTTTCATGTTTGTGATAGGTTGATGAAGAAGGTGTTAGGACTGTGGATGATGATAATTTCATCGACGATAGCGGTTTGGATCCTTCTGAAAGGTATGGAAACGACCATGGAGGCCACTCACCTAGCCATTACCCTGAGGTATGTGTAATCTCTGCATGCCTTTTCATTTTCATTGGAAAGAAAGTGAAACCATTTTAAGTCTGGTATATTCACTGATTGACTGATTTCTGTCGGTATTTGTTGATGACGACATAGTTGTTTTTTAATGCTTTTAAATAGGCAGAGGAGGGTGAAGAGGATGATGAGATAAATAAACTTTTCAAGGTGGGGAAGAAAAAGAAGAAGAACGAGAAAAATCCTGCTG